AGTTCCTGACCTGGTTTGGGTCCGAGCAACAGTAAAATGCTGTTTATCCAACTCAGCCGCCATCAGCCAGCTGGATAGCTCTGCTGGTTCAGAGTGACAACTGCAGTGATTGCTGCTGTCTGTTTCTCTGCAGGCTTCAGGGTGGGCTAGATGCTGAAAAGGAGACTCTGATCTGCTCCTGGGGTCTGAGCCACACAGCTGCTGCTTGCTTCTGAACTTGCTCAGGACCTCTCTGGCCAGGAACATTATTCTGAGCACAGGTCCCTTGGATTTGTTATACGGAATTGGGTAGTGGGCAACAAAGGTGACCTGTTTCTGCACCCTGCATGCATTACACTGGGATAGGTCTGGGGTAGGTCCGGAATCTCCCCTTGCTCTGGAGTACCCCTCTTCCCTGAGTGTTGGAGTGCTCCACTTTCACAGTGCTCCTAATCCTAGCCCCTAGTGTTCACAGACCTCGTTATCTGTTTCCTTATGTTAATCTTGTCTGGACAAATTACTGGCTGTGACTTTTTCTGTATTTCTCCATCAGGATTTGGTTTGGTACATTTTCTAGATCTTTTTGGAGGAGGTTTTTTTTTTTTTGGTCTGGGGGAGGGGAGCTCACTGAACTGCTTTCTCTTACTCTGCCATCTTTCACATAATGGGTACTTAATAAACTTTGTAAATTGGTTGGTACTTTATGGATCTTAGGCTGCGGATTTTTTTTAAATTTTGTCTCCTGTCCAGTTCTAAGTGTCTCAACCACTATTCTTTCTATACTGTTACTATTCTCTGTGAGATCTACCTTTCCCCTCGGGTCCCTCATCTTCTCTTCCTTCATCTACTCCTTCTCAGATCCTTCTGCTCAAGTCTTCGTCCTTCACACTGTCTTCCACTCTTAGCTTTGTCCTTTTTACCTCCTTCAATTTGAAACTTTCCTCATAGGCAGTGCAGAACTAGGGCAAGAGCACTAGATTGGTAAGTAGAGGCTCTGAGTTTCAATCTCGCTTCTGTAGTGTACTGCCTATATGATCTTAGTCAAGTCACTTAGCTAGCTGTGGTAAGAACTATATCCTAACCCCTGCCCTCATTCAAGTTAGGTTAGTTTTTTTCTTAAAAGGCATGGCTGTACTCCCACCAACCTGATTGGCTCCGCAGCCTAAAGTCTCAGGCTTTTGACACTCCTTCCTGGTTGTCTGAGTACAAGATAGCCACTGATACTCGGCTGGCAGAAAATGACCAGTAATGCAGAGAAAGGAACTACTTCCCTCAGCGACTCACTGTGTTCTCATTGTGTATTGTTGAATATCCTTCTGCTGCTGTGGCTAAGTAAATATCCTGCTGTTAACTATTGAGATGCTTTAGAGCATCTCACTTGGTTACAGTGTCAAATGTGAACTGCCAGAGATTCTGAAGAGGAAGTTCCTTTGATTCATATATATTCTCTCTGTGACTCCTTTCTCCCTTGTCAGCCTTCTCCTCCCGTATCCGATCCAGACCTTTCCCCCTGATGAGTTTATTGTATTATTTATTATACCAAACTCTGTGTGTGTGTGTGTGTTCATCTAGTTCAGATAAAAATGAGCAGTTCGTGTGAATCTCACTCCCATCTTAACCCTTTCTTCCATGTTTGTATACTCTCTCATTCACCCCAAGTATGAGATCTACTAAATTCCGTCCCCTTTATTTCTTACCTAGGGTATTTTCCCTTTCCTTTTGCTTTCCTCCCATTATCGTCCAAACAGAACAAAACTATACCCAGTCCTCTGATTTGTTTCATCTAGCTCCCTCTGTGTCACTTAAAGACACTAAAGAGATATTTTTCTCTTTTCCTCCTATTATCGTTGGCTAGCCTCTTCTACTTGCCATTATACAGTGTCTCAACTCCTATATGTTCAATTCAAAGTTTCTACTTACGTCTGTTTTCTCCTTAGGAATTCTTGAAAATCCTCTGTTATTGGGTGCACTTTTCACTCAGTATTGCAGGATAACTTACTCTTGGTTTTAAGCTGTTATCTTTTATATTTTGGAATGTCATATTACATCATATTCCAAGATTTTCTCTTCTTTATATTGTTACTGCCAAGTCTTCTGAGATCCTGGCTGTGGTTCAATTTACATTTGAACTCTTTTTATTTGCATACAATATTTTATTCTAGACCTGGAATCTCTGTATTTTGGCTGTGACGTTCTTGGGAGTTTCATTTTAGAGTTTATTTCAAGAGGTGGCAAATTATGTTCATTTTCATTTTGCCTCTTGGGTTCTGGTTAATATGGGCATTTTTCATTTATGAGTTCTTGAAATATAGTATCTTGAGGCAAGGCAAGCTTCTATGACACTGCTACCAGGCTGGGTCAGGCAGGTAACTCAGCCGTTGTACTCTGCTCAGGGTGCCAGCATCTCTACTAGACAAGTTGATCTATTGACTTCAGAGGCCTGTGCTTGAAAGGGTAGCTGCAGTCTTTTCCCACTATCAGCCATTGGCTTGGTTAGGTGATACTCTGCCTTTTTAAGCTGGAGCACTACAGAAATGTTTCAACCAGGGCAGCAAACCTTAGCTTAGCTTTGGCTCTGCCTCTCTCAGCTCTGAGGTGGTTTGCAGGAGATGGGAAAGGTCTTGCTTCTCCGATTTGACAAATTTTTGTTTCCTGGCTCAAACCTCTTTCCTTCTGTAAACCATTCCAGGTTGCCTGGTTGTCTTAGAGCAATTTATTTCAGTTAATTGCTATGTCCTGAAGATACAAATAGAAAAGCTAGTCCCCGCTCTTGAGGAGCTCTCATTCTCATGGGGTGGATGACACATGTGAAAGGTTTCAGCTGCTCGTCAGGTGGAAAGCTCCCATGGTCCTTGGCGTTCAGAGGCAGAGCAGATACTAATGACGCTTTAATGTCGTTTTCACTGATAAAATATCAATTTCCGATGTTCAACCATTTGACAATGCCAAGGACTTTGGTGTCAAGAAATTTCTGAGTCTTCAGTAGCAGTGACTAGGGATAAAGATTTGAAAACAGTCTGTGACAATTGAGGTATTCAAGCTTTTTCCCATTTTTAGGGTAGAGTATGTCTATTTTGCATCTGCAGGCTTTTTCCTTTACATTTTACTATTGATTTTTTAGCCTCTGAAGACCGTCAGCTTTTGTTGAAATCTCACTGGGACACCCCTTTTTATGTTCAGTGAGTGAATAAAAATGTAAAGCCCCTGCATGCCCTGTAACTGTACAGTTACAGTTCATATCACTTAGTGTAGCATCTTATTCTAAGAAGAGACAAAACTAATGAATGGAAATTGGAAAACAAAATTTGGAGTGTCTGGTCCTGTTCAAATTATAGACAACCTTTGAATACACAGGCTTGTGGAGGAGATCTGTACAGATATTGCAAAACAAGATCATTCCATAATGATTTCAGATTGCCTGTTCTATAATGGCTTCTTAACATTTAGACTTGAATCTGGATATGTCTTATCTTCTGGAAATTTGTAATGTTTCAAACCAAATATTATTTTTCACCTTTTTCTATTTTTCCCTCTTTGGCTAGGGATAAGTCCTTTATGTGGAAATAAATACTTCTAACACAGCAATGGGGACTGTTGTTTCCCAAGGGGATCCCTCACGCAAAGTACTTGGATCTCATGCGTGTTTTTTTTCACAGAAGTTATTAATAGTCAGTTTTTTTGGAGGGGAGGCCAAGGCAGTTGGGGTTAAGTGACTTGCCCAGGGTCACACAGTTAGTAAGTATTGTGTCTGAGGCTGGATTTGAACTCAGGTGTTCCTGACTGCAGAGCCAGTACTTTATCCACTGCACCACTTAGCTGCCCCACACAGAAGTTATTTATAGCTAGAAGGAACAATTTACAATTTGAGAAAAGGACTAATGGATGTCAAGGGAGACGTTAGTGTTTGACTTCATGTCTTGAAGTGAAGCTGGCACCCCATGGTAGTTCGGTCAGATTAAAAAAAAGAGCTAGAGGTTCTATAACCTAACTAGTAACAGATAAAAGCACCTTTCTTTAACTGTTCCCCTCTTCCCCCTTATAAGTGTTCCAGGCCACTGCAATCAGTGAGTAGATCCCCTACCATGGAAAATAGAATGTTCACCACCTGATCGATACTACTCATGCAGGCACTATTATGTCCAGAGAATTTTATAACATTCAACCCTATCTAGATTTTATCAAGGTGATCTGACAACATTAGGGCCCCTACTCTCAGGGTCTACCTTTCTACTTTCTAAGTAAAGGAAACTCTCTGCCAAATTGAGGGATAATATCTTATTACTGCTCCATGTGTCATAAAAAATTCCCTCCCCCCACCCACAGGAACACTTGATGGAGATTGCTGAGGCTGTGCCACATTAGCCTGGCAGTAGAGTACACAGTGCTGGTCAAGACCCTTCACATTACTGTGTGGAAATTGCGTTAGCTCTATATTAGTTGGTATTTCTGTCTAGTGAATAATGTATTCAAGTGACAGATTCAGCAGGGAAAATCCCAAACCCAAAGGGTTTTTGGGGTTGCTGCTCTTGCAAGGGTATAATTTAATATTGTTAGTGATTAATCCTCATAAAAATGGCTCTTTCCATCATCCATACTAGCTCCGTGTAGCACTTTTATTTGGTTTGGCTTTGATATGTTTTGGCTGTAATCTTATGCCTTTATAACCTCTCATCCCATCTCACATCATGTTGGGGCCTTGAATATGTAATGATCTTGATGTGCCTTGTTCTTTGCCCTTCAGGGTAAGATTCACATATGCCTTTCAGCTCCAATTGGATGATGGTTAATCAGAGATGGCCATTTCTCCTGTTATCAGTCCTATCATTAGATGGAAGAGCAATATTTCTATTGTTATACTTCTTACCACCATGTAGCCCTGGCCATATGGAGTTTTGCAGTAACTACTTGATCTACTGATTCATCTAAAACATTTCCTGCCACTCAACCTATGTTTTCACTCTCAGTACCCTCTTGTGTTCATCTCCTGCAGTATGGTGCCAGTGGTAGATGGCTACCTGGGGAAGCTGGAGGCCAACTGGAAGAGTCTGAATGGAGTCCCCTGGCACATGATCTGTTTCTTCCCGGCTGCTTGCAAAATTTTCTCTTTGATTTGGGAGCTGTGGATCTTGGCAACCATATTTCTGGGTGAGTTAAATTTGTTGTTTCTCTCTGGTATTTTTCTATGAATTCTGTTACTCTGTACTTTGTCCTCTTGTCCTAATACTTCTGGACAATTTTATTTATGAGTTAAGAGAAAAACAAAAATATTTCAAATTGGAAGTCTATCCCCTATTGTCCCATGCCTGAAATGCTCTGCTTTCTTGCCTCTGACTTCTGGATTCCCTGGTTTCCTTCAAGACTCAACTAAAATCTCATCTCTATAGAGGGTCTTTCCCAGTCTCTTCCTTCACCACCAGCTGCTAATCTCTTCTTTATGAGATTACTTACCATTCATACTCTGTGTGTGTGGGGGGGTGGGGGGATTTGTATATTATCTCCCCCATTAGAATGTGGGAACAGGCTCCATAGTTTTTGCCTTTTTGATATCTTCTGCACTTAGCACAGTGCCCAATATGTAGTAAACTTTTAATAAATGCTTGTTAATTGAATGAATGACTACAAGTGCTAGAGAAACAAAAACTAAGATTGCAATCTGTTTCTCAGCAAATCTTATATGGGCCTTCCAGTGTTTCCTTTGCTGCCTTGCTGTATGTGTTCAGAGGTCCTCTGTAGAGTGCATGACTGAGTGACTTAAAAAAAAATCACAAATCAAAACACTATCACCCTGAGAATTGAGAAATTAATAAAGAAAAGAAATGCTAATGAAAAACAAATGCTAATTTTCTTCTGCTGCTTTCATCACCACCCCCAGATTTATAGAGAAAATTCTGTTTGAACTATTCCTTAAATATATCTAAATTGCAGATTTATAGAGAAAATTTCATTTGAACTATTCCTTAAATATATCTAGACTGCTGCAAAGCCTGTTCTGGCTGTAGGTTGATCTCTTCTGATTATTGTTTTATTTATGTGCCCCCATGGTTTCATCCTTCTCTCTGTCCAGGTATTTGAGGTCATAAAATAATGGAAATAATAGATTTTTTTAGACTAAAATGCCCAAATTTTGTGTTACATATTTCTATTAAGATTCTTTTGTTCTACTCCCCCCCCACCCTTTTTCTATACCACTTTATTTTATTAACTGTTCCTTAGCATGGAGTAAATATTTTGACATTTTCATGTATTTGTTCATTCAATAAAAAATTCAATAAATGAGGCACTTAGATGGAATGGTAGATAGTATGTGGACATGGAGTCAGGAAGACCTGAATTTGATTGCTGCCTCTCACATTTCCTAACTGTGGGACCCAGAGTAAGTCACTTATCTTCTCTCACCCTAGGTTTCATCATATGTAAAATCGAGAATAATAATAGAACCTGTGTCCCAGTGGTGTGAGGACCATTTTAAAATATAGTAAAATAGTTAAAGAATAATATAAATCTTAGCTACTAGTATTATTCACAAATGCAAGCTCCTTATTATAAGTTTATTCTTCCTATTTTAGCACAGACAGCCAAAACTGCTGGTTTGACCCTTGCCCAGGACACATGCTTGTTTCCCTCTTTTATCATCCCTCAGCTTCTGCCTTGTTTTCTCTTTAGCTCATGATCAGAACCAGGAGATCCAAGAGTGTGTCCAATAGAGTGTGAGCTCCTGGACAACAGGAACTCCTTTTATCTTTATCTTTTTATCTATAGAGAACAACACAGTTCCTGGCATGTAGAAAGTACTTGATAAATGCTTGTAGATTTATTGATTGTTTGAGAGTAGCTGAATGGTTGCCTTTATATTCAAAGAGCCTTCTATTCATGTGCCTTTGTTGCTTGTGGAAAAAATGCACATCTTGATAAGATCACAGATCTCCTGGAATATTAGAATATTGTTTGTACCTGTGGGTATATCCACCTCCTAATAATGAAGAAAAGAATTAGGTTTCAATGAGAATTAAAGTTTGGTCTGTCCCAAAACTATGTTCTTTTTTTTTTTTTCCTTTGTAAGATGTTAATGTGTTGGTTAATCAAAGCATAATAATGGAATCAGGAAAAATTAAGTTGGAGATAAGAATTCTTGACTGAGATGTCACATTGATTCCTTATCTTTCTACTTTCTAAGTCCTTTGCTAGCTCTTTGATTTTTTTCTTTTCTTTTTAATGTAATTTTAGTTTTACTTTATTTTTCCCCATCTCTTTTCAATGTGCCAATGGAGATTTAGCATCGCACACTAATTAGAAAATTGTTGAATAATTTTTTGGCCTTTTAATAAGTCATGATTTATGACAATTTAAAATGATGCAATCTTTTTGGATATGATTTGTTTATTTAATTTTTAAAGAAACAGTGATATAAAGGGAACAGAAGCATCAAGACAAAGTGCTGGAGGAAAATGCAAGGAGGGAATGCTTGATTGAGCCGGAGGGGGTGGAAGGAATGAGGGGGCTTCATTAGTACTCGAGCTATTCCCTGAAGTAGGTGTAAGATTTCAAAAGCCAGAGATCCAGCAAGTGGAGATGACCTGGATAAATGAACGGAGGTAGCAAGGTGAGATTGTATAACAGTCTAGTTTGTCTGGAACACAGAGCATGTGAATGCCTTGGAGGTTGGAATCACATTGTAGAAGACCTTAACGACCTTAACTGGTGGGCTAATTCATTTGCATTTTTTCTTAGAGATGGCACCGTATTTGGGGTTAAAGGACCTAGATTAAAATTTTGGTTCAATTATTTACTACTCGTGTGACCTAGACAAAATCAAGTCCTTTATGGGCCTCAGTTTACCCATCTCCAAGGTCCCTTCTACTTTTACTGTTATGATGCCTGGAACTGTTGAAGTTTTTAAGTTAGGAAGTAAGTGGACTATATTTACCCATTAGGAAGATGATTTTGACAGCTGTATAAAAAATAGGTTAGAAATGTGGGACTGAGACCAGAACTGATGAGGCCTCAACTGAGGTGGCAAAAGTATGAGTCAGATGTGAGAAATGTTATGGAAGTAGAAATTTATAGGGCTTGGTTATGTGAGTAGTAAGGAAGAAAGAAGAATTGAGATAAGTGTGAGGTTTTGAGCCTTGATGACGTGGATGAAAATGGTACTCCCAACAGAGGTAGATTAGTTCAGAATGATAAGGTCAAATTGATCATTAAATATTTTGTTTATGTTGAAAAGCTCTTCTGCTGGCATTTGTTAAGAATTAGAGAAATTTAGGGGAGATATTAGAGTCCATGTTTCTGTATTTTTTATGATTCTGTGAATGATTAGTTGTTTTATTTTATTACTTTCTGATATATTCGTAGTTTGTTACAAAGCGAACAGTATGCTACAATTACTTTTTTCACATAATTTTATTTTTTTTTCAATTACATGTCAAAATAAATTTCAACATTCACTTTTATAAGATTTTGAGTTCCAAATTTTTCTCCCTCCACCCACCCCATCCCGGACCCCTCCCCAAGATAGCAAGCAATCTGATACAGGTTATACAGCTGCAACTGATCTTGGGAATTTTTTGTAGCCTCCATATCCATCCTTGTCTATATAGATTTTATTAAGGGAGTTATTTCATCAATAAATCAAGGCCTTTTAGCAAGCCTGATGGATATTCAGCAGTTCACTAGTTGGTCTGAGATTTAAAAAATTATAAGACACACTTCCTGCCCTCAAAAAGCTTATAATGTATTTAGGAAAATGTTACCGACACATATGAACTGCTTAAGAAGTACTTGTCCAATTGTACAATATTAGCTTAAATGCGATTATGGTTCAGAGAAAAGAGAAAGAAAGTCTTTGTGGAGAAAGTGGTACCTGAACTGGGGCTTGAAAGATGGACTATATGAATATTGATAAACCAAGCAGAGAAGATATTCCAGGCAGGGAAAGTAGAAGGACTAAAGACTGTTATGGACATATCCAATGCTTTATTTATGGTATTGCTGCCAATGATACTTTTCAACACAGAGAGACATTTTAAACTCAGATTTTTAATATACTCAGAGCACAGGCTCAGGATTCTAAATGGCCATTGAGAAATAAATGAAGTTCTCTTTAGGCTTATGTCGTTACCAGTTACAGCAGAAAAAGAAAAAAAAAAGATGCAGCTACCCAAAGGGAAGGGTAAAGATTCACATTTCAAAGATAGCTTGTAAAATTTGTAGCAGGCAAATGGGGAAGAAGGAGGTTTACATGTCAAAGGTTTTAGACGGGGAAAATTTACGTCTGGTAAATTGATAACAGTAGTTAGTCTAGCAAATGGCTATCTTAAAACAGAGCCAGAGTTCCATTACTCCTAACCAGTTAATCATATTGAGTTAATTTTTGGAATTCTCAGCTAAATTCCATCCCATAAAGAAAGCCTCAGCCAGAGATATGATTTTCCTTACAAATGAAATGGTCATGCCAGAGCCAAGTAGGAAAGGAATTAAGAAAATTCTTATGATATCACCCTGCCCCGCCCCTTTTTGTCCATAGATTGAAATGAAATGTAAATTTGTGACCATATTCTTATACATCCTGTCAATCTCCTCTCTGGATGCCTCAATACTAGTTTTATGACAAGCATTTCCAAAGGCAGATGCAAATATTGGTCAGTATCGAGTACAATAGCAAAACAAAAGCAATATAATAGCAAGTATTGGCATTGTATCATAAGTGCCTTCGTTCAGCCTGTTCCAGCCAACCAACCCCAAATATCCATTTAAATGGCGTATTTCTTATTCTGTTATCGTGGATTTAGCCATCCCATGAAAACACCCATTTCTGGGAAACATTTTCCCTTGGAAATTCTTTGCCAAAAGTGTCTGTCTCAGGCTAATGTTCACAAAATGTCCAATTCAGTTCAAACATCCTGGTGTCCTTAGCTGGAATATCAGTTGTCAGTAGTACCTAGAATAGGCTTCATTCCCAGGGCAGTTTTGGAGAGGGGATCCTCTCAGCACATCTGCTTCCCAGGTTCCAAGTCATTTTCAAAAGTTCCCTAGTTAATGCTATTTAAACCTGCTAGTGCTGAGACTTAATATAATTGAGGAGAACCTGAAAAAATCCAGTCACGTTGACCTTTCAGCAATTAGTACATGTGATGAGAACCGGTTCA